ATCCATCTGCGCACTCGGATATAATCTCAGTGGAAATGCTTGCCGTCTTTCGGAAAAATTGTTTTTGCCCGGTTCCGCTAATCCCGTGTCTTCAGCATGTCCACTGACACGCGTGAATAGCGTCTGCGCGGTGGACCGCCGGCAGAAGCGCGTGGCTTCGCGGAAAATGTGTAGTCGACGCTATGCCGGCAAATGAGTTTGGCGAATTGCACAGGTGACAGCGGCTACCTGTGCAGTGACGGGCACTTTGGATGAGTGCGACCAAGCTATTGTGAAGTAAGGATACCTATTTTGGGTCAGCATTGGTCACCGTGAGCTGGGCTTTGCGCCAGCGTCATTTTCAAGGTCCCGGTTAGGTGAGTGCACACGCCAGCGTGTTGCATCGAGATCGTGTCTGAAAAACGCGACGTGGGTCGCTTCCCGGTCGTTTGCTGACGTGCTACGGGTCTGACGGCGTTGGCCGATCGGGTGATTTGTAGACGGTACACGCGCCTGCACGGTGTAGCCAGTTTCGTGTTGTTATCTGCTCGGGTTGCTGAGATCTGAAATCAATCGTGAAAAAATGCCTGAAAACCGTCGAATCTGAGGTTTGTGCACGAGCGCGTGCGAGCCTCAATGAGCGTCAATTCGCAGGCTGTACGATTGCGCGTACCTTCCACGTTTTGATGTTTTTGTCCTATTTCGATGCGACTTCCCGTTGCCGAGCTGCGAGCCAGGTTTCGTCGAGGGTTTTGGCAATTTTTAGCAAAGTTGTGATTTCGCATTTCACGCGTTAAACTAATGGCGCTTGTGTGCACGTGCCGACGGCGCCCTGCCAGTCGGACCGCATCCAAAATTTGATGATGCGTCCCACCTGGCCTTGTCGTACAAAATGAGCTAGCCGTACAAAAAAGCTACGAACACTTTTAGGCATGACAGACAGGCAGGCAGTTTATAACAATAAACAGGCCATGAGGCAGAATAACGGAATCCAACCCAACAGAGATAAATGACTTATGCCGCACGGATTGGGCTGTTGGGCGTCGCGCCAAAATCATTGGAGACTAAAAGTCCGGCATTGCGCGATGTGCAAGCTGTTTAAAAGTGTCGTGTGGTTTTGAGATTTTTTGACGGTTTGAGCCGTCTTGACCTTGATTTTTGCAGGGACTTTTACACCTTTACAGATGACCTTTTTTAACATGGGTGTTACATAGTCTACCAAGACTTGAGCTCACTACACCATCCAGAAGTGACTCCAAGAAACGTCTTTAGGAGACATGTTACGACTAATTGTTAAAGGCAGCCGCGTCGTCCACGGTTCGTTGAGCATACCCGACTGATGTCTGTTTGAATGGGTTTGATGATAGCGTGGCACGTCGCACACACCTGGACCAGCTACTGACAAAGAACCAGCCCGTGCAAGTCGTACAATATTGCACAGTGCAACCCAGTCTGCTGTCCTGCAGCTCTTTCGATGCATGACGGCTCAGCGTCAGACCACCTCACGGTGTTTCTTGTACCTGTCATGCTGGAAAAAAACATAAAATGGAAAGAGAGAGGGGAGCAATTTTAGCACTGTTCTCTGCATGTAGATAATAAACGTGTGTAATTTTATAGGTGCCAAACAAACACTTGTGCATACGCAACACCTGTAATATATTCACATAGCTGTTGGTCGTACATACAAATGCACGGGTTAGTGATCTAGACTTATTTTATAAGCGCACTGGTGCAGGGGAGCGGGATGTGCCGCTGATGATAGCCGGCGACCCGGCGTACCCACCCCTCCCGTGGCTGATGAAGGGCTTCACTGGTGCCAGACCTGAAACAAAGACATTTTAAACAACAGGCTCAGCCATACCTACGCATCTGTTGAGCAATGCCTTTTTCTGGTTCAGGGGAAGGTGGCACCGGCTGCTAAAGCGCTCAGAAACAAACCGCGGGCTTATTTTGACATTCGCGGCGCTGACGGCCGACACGCGGCTGCAGATTGTGAGCGTACCGACACTGTTTTGTGGATGAAATGACGGAGTTGCAGAGCGCTCCACAGGCCGCGAGCTCGCCTCCCGCTCACTGTTCCAGCTAGTCACCGCCACGCCCTCGCCTCCTGATGGCGCTCTGCGCCGCGGGAGGTGCTGCCACCCGGATACCGCCGAACGCATGCACATGCCGGGATGCTGCCTTGCCGCATCAGAACTTTTGGCAGTAATATCATGCCTGTCAAGGTGCACGGCTTGGAAGTGCAGCTGTTTCGGCACGTGGCTGTGATGAATCATGGCGTTGACTTCTGCGCTCGAGATTTGGGGCCATTCTCATCAAACAAGCAGCTTACTGAACTGCTCACTCAGCCTTCCTTTCCGGGCGGTGATTATGATGTTATGCCGGTGATCAAGAGAATGGCAACAATGCTAGAAACCCAGTGACCGAAGGTCAGTGCGTACGCCTTAATAAAAACACAGGCATTGCGGAAAGGCCGCACATCGTGTCTGTCGTGGCCGTCAATCTTGACGAGCACCACGGCAGCCATAGCATAATTGATGGACATCAATTCCGTGTTCATCATGCGAGGCTTCTGTCTGTGGGAATCGCCTGATAACATGATGCCTGACGGACCTGAGGGCCGAAATAATCTGGAATGCGATATTATCTGGCGATGCTCTATCGTGCGTAACGGCAAAGCTAAATGTCCATCTCAGCTGGAACGACAGTTACGCACGTATAAAACACATTATAAATGTTATGAGCACGCGTTCGGCGCCGTCCTTCCGCCGAGCGGACGGGAGGAGCCGAGAAATACTATGAAATGTTTCAAGTCATAACCGCTGAACTCAGAGCTCGAGATCAGGCCCACATTCCGTAAGTCTAAGTAGCTGTGCGCCAAGCAACGACATGAAGCACACCAGACATTAGGAGACAAATGTTGGGAAAAGGGTATGTCATGATTATACAAACTCATACATAAACGACTAGTAAACGTATAAGCCAAACAAGTGAATTGCAAATATATGAAAACACATAGCACATTGGTGTAACTATACAAACGGGTTTCCTTCTGCTCACTTTTAACTCGCCATCAAGCATTCTTGGCGCTCCGCCCGCCCAGGGATGAAATAGACATTATCTTCTGTCAGGGCCGTTATACGAGCGATGACCTCCAGCTGCAGCGCCCGGTATCGGTCTTCGAGCGCCACCATCCGCTCCGCGGCATGCTCCATGCGCTGGAGCAGCACCTCTATCCCGTCACCACCGGGCGCGTCTCGCCCTCCGCGTGCGTCCTGCCCGACCACGCCTTTGTGCACGACCTCGACCGCGGACAGCCGGCTGATCCAGTGGCGGGAGTGTCGCCGATCCCTCTGCCGAGTCACCCTGGGCGGCAGGCTGTGCCGTCGCTGGGGACCCTGCAGAGCGCAGCCGTGTCTGGTCCTCCGGGTGGCAGGCAGAGCAGGCGGCTGCGCCGAAGCTGCAGGACGTTGGCCACGGTAAGCCAGCATTGTCCGTATTTCATGGTTCACTGGCTCACCTGGCTCACTGGTCCGCCGTGCTGGAAATAACTTCAGTCTCATTAAACTCAAGAGGGTCAGTAGTACAGCAGTCAGTAGTAAAGGAGGGCAGGAGGACACACAGCAGACAAAATTATATTACGACTGTGAAGCCAGCCATTGCAAAAATTGTGTAAAATCACTGATGTGAACATTACTGAGCTTGAAAACACCCTAGGCCGCAATGAGGGAGTTGTGGCAGGGCAGCATTGCTGATGATGTGTTTTTCACAATATGGGTATTTTATTTATGCATTAGCAGAGCAGCGATCATATGTCCGTGAGTAAACCAATGGAGCATAACGGAATAACAAATAAAGAAGTGCAACTTGTTTTCTAAATTGAACCAGTAGCAAGTGAGGCACAATGACTATGTAATGCATTTGCAACGTGCCTGCTGAAGGTCACAGAATGGCACAGATGACATTATGAAATACATATTTATTACTACTCCTAATACATTTATCAAAAGCAGATAACTGTGGAAAACGTTTATACACCTTGAAGTTGTTAGACGTTGGTATATGTTGAGGGTAGGTTCCATCTTTTTTACCGCTCATCGCATGAAATGAAATGGTTTAACTCATTTTCTGAACCTACAATTGGTGCAGATTGGTGCACGCTGTTACCAGCTTACGAGCGGTCCGCTTGTCCAGCGCAGAACTTCTTCAGCAGGAACTTTGCGAGGCGGTCGACGATACCAATGTCTCGGTCCATGCCTCGGCCCAGTGCAATGCAATACAGTGCAGTCCAGTGCGGTCTCCGGCTCAATGTCAGCTAGTTTCGGGGCCGCCGCAGGCGAATGTTTGATGGCAGGACGTTGTGCAGTTCCCTGAACACACGTCGGTGGGGGGTCGACTTGCCCCCCGCGAGGGTTTTTGCGAACTGGTTTCCGAACGGTGCGGCGTAGCCGCACCAAATTTCGCATAGCTGTAGACAATTGAATAGCGGATCGTGTGGTACAAAAATTAGATGTACCTTGCAAGGTCGCTGACGTACGGCAGGTCAAAGCCAGGCCATGGATTAAACGAAGTCCATTTTAAGGAAAACGTTCGGTCCGATGGAACAACGGAACGTTGGACGAAGCCATACATGTTTGAGATACTTTTTTGGGAAACATAATTGAATGACCAAATTCCACTGACCTGGGGTCAGCCTGTTTTGTTACTCTACGGTGTGCTGTTTGGGGGTAGTTTACGCCCATTTCGAACTTGTTGAAAACGTAAACCGCATTAGACAACTTACATGAGCTTTTTATGGATCAGAATAGGTCACCGACCTAAATTGACTCAGGTCAACATTTTGTTTATAGGAACATCCTGCCTGGCTTAATCTTTGTCGCATATTCGAATAATGCAAAACTTAAAGCAGTCTTCTTTGGTTTTGGTCACCATGACCTTCAAAAGGTCACACAAAAGGTCAAACAAGGTCACTGACCTTGAATGAGCGTGTGACCTTTTGCTTAGGACAGGTATCTAGGTTCTGGGGACACTTTGAAGACCAACTTGGAGTTTGACTTTGTTTGACCTTATTTGACCCGAAGGTGACGGCCTACGGGGCTTAAATTCTGCTCTAAGTGAGTCGACGTACAGTTCAACACACCCTGTAAATTTGGTATCTCCTGCCCCATTAGCTCCTGAGATCTCGGGGGGTCATATTGACCGCCACCCGAGCGAAGGATATCCAACCGGCCACCCGGGCGCGTGTTAATAGCTTGCTGTATGAGTTCGATTATATGAAGGGTATCATAAAGGCTAGTTTTTCCCTTGAAAGCTAATGATATTTATAGCAATCAACTGTTTTTGCTCAGATACGCAAGGAACCTGCAATAAATGAATGACATGCAATGCGCATAGGAGACAAAATGATTTCACCAACCTTGACTCGTGTCGCTGCGTGTCGTTTGTTTTTGCTCAGTTCACCTTAATAATGTTTTGTGGGGAATCGATCGGTAGTGCTTGTTGAATTTAATTATGACGTGTTTAAAGCTTTTATGTATTATGCATGGAAGCCTAAGAAGTGTGTTGCGCACGATGCTGTTTGTGTGCACGGTAGCCATGTGTAAGCCTGTTGGTAATGTTAAAGGCGCAGGTTTTTCTCTTTTCATAATTCTAGTGTAACATGGCATTGGGCCGCTAACTGCAGCGAGTTGCGAGTGCTTTACCTGCTGCCTTGCACTATGTTTGTGTGTGTGTGTGTGTGTGTGTGTGTGTGTGTGTGTGTGTGTGTGCATGCATGCAGGGAGATAACAAAAAGACCAAAAAAAGAGTCACCCCGCTGACCTGGCCATCGCGCTTGGAACCATCCGCCGCGATACAGCCGAGAGGCAGTCCCAATACACACCGACGCCGCAACTGTTTGTGACAGCTTGACGCGCCGGCAGGCGGACTCCCCTCCCAGTTGCGGACAGGCTCCTTCCACGCCACTGCGAGGCACTCGTCCGTTTGGCCCCGCAGACGAGGTCTTTTCGTAGACATTTTGGTCTGCCCATAGTGCGGGGACCGAAACCATGGGTAGCGTTTCCCCAAGGGTTTCCGCCAACACGCTCGTGGCCTGGAGTCGAATGTGGCAGCCAAACCCACCACCACAAGCACTGATAAGTGAGTGGCCAGATCACACGTACATGAAAGAGTTGGTGATAAGGTGCGAGACTAAAAATGCCTAAAGCAAAAATATAGTCATGGTCTAGAGCTCGATCCAGTCGTTCCATTCGACGGAATAATTGAATAGACAATGGCGGCGTCAGGTCTTTACCGATACACGTGTGACATACGATGACAACGAACTGGAACTCCTCTGGAGTTAAAGCACTTTAAAAAGAACTTTTGGACTCCACCGGGCCGAATTGGGCGGCAAATTGCCATAAACGAAGTGGAAGGAGAAAATTGCCATGAAGCCGAGTGGCACCGAGAGCTTTGTACAAAAGTTTGTACAAAAAATGACTATTCGCGGCGACAGCACGCGACGTTTGTCGCCCCTGCGCCGCGCGCGCAGCAGTGACGTCACAGCGGGCGAGTGACGCCCGCGGGGTTCAGGCACGTCATTGGGTGCGCTGCCGTGGCGGCGAGGGTGTCCCCGGGAGCTGCTCCCACTGACGCCGGTTGTGCTCGACGGCGTCCACGAGCGGCCCCAGCACCGGACTGAGGCTTGCCACCGCCCTATAGACGGGCATACAGCTGGAGTCGATGAAATCGACCTGCATGTCAGGCAGCTGATACTTCTTCTCCCGGCCCATCATCTCCATGAGCTTGATGTGCAGCTGGTTGTCCTCCATGTCGCCCCTCTCGATAACTCGCTGGCGACCAGCTTTGCGACCCGGCGCTGGATCGGTTGGTTTTGACCTTGGCCCGGCCTTTATACCTGGCCCTAGGTCAATATAATTTGCTAATTTAATTATTGTGTCGCCTAAGAAAGTATGTCAGAGATGCGCGGCTTTGTCCAACACTCCGTTGTTGGATCAGATTGAACGATTGCCTAGATATTGCCTGTGCTGAGAACATGGCCTGCATTTTGACCTGCCACAGGTGAGCGACCTTACAAAGTACATGTAAGTTTTTGATGTCAAACAATCCATCGTTCGATTGTCTACAGCTATGCAAGATTTGTCGTGGCTGCTCCACGCTGTTCGAAAACCATTCCGGAAAAACCTTTCGGCGGGTCAATTTGGCCTCCACCCAAACACGTGTTGTATCTATAACATATCTATGATTTGATCGCCAAAGCATGGTTATTTTGTGGTAAAGATGGTGAGGTTGAGCTATCAAAAAAAAATTTGCTTGGATTATTTACGCAATTACTAGTTTACCCTGATATAACCATTGTGGTGCTGCACCATTCTTGCTGGTGATAGTCCCTTGGTACTCTTAACTCAGTTGTTACCAGTCATTCATAAATAATAAGCTGCTGTCTCATAGACTTGACATAGAGTAGTCAACCAATGTGGTACATTGTGTTATGGTATGGATCAACAGTGTCATTGCGACGCTACATCAGTGCTGTACTGTGGCATGGCATAATGCATAATGATACGGATTCTGTACTGCAATCCCTGCTGTTTTCACAACAAACTCTATCAAGAAAAGGTGGGGTCAGGCATGCATTCTTGTATTAACTCCGCATCTGACATATGACTGACCAAAAAGAAATGAAACAATATACAAACCAAGTTCAGTAAAGCACACAATCAATAAGTGACATTACTTGCTCAGCCTATTTTGGGAATCCACGAAACATAGGTGATAAAGATGCAAGCACGTCCTCCGATTACATAAGCATGCACCATGCTGCAGTCATCAGGTTGCTTCACCTAAGAATATTTTGCACGAGTAATAACGCATTTATGATAAGAAAATATAATATGTGGTAAAATGGCACTGCAAATCTGTTAGCCCAGCACAAGGCTGGAGTCATGACACGCGCATGAAGTCATGGTTAGATGGACGAAATGCAAGGAAATGATGAACCTACCGGTGCACACAAGGCTCATGATAGAAATATTATTAAGTGGTATCCAAGACACCAACAGCAATACTTCACCTTCCTCAGTGCCCAGAATATCATACAAGGTGCAGTGACTGTGACAATGATGACTCACAAGCAATGCTTGCCTGCATACAAAGTTTGTTAAAACAGTTGTATGTGTACCCAAAATAATACAGCACCATATTTGCAGAATTATTAAGTGAAAGACCGTTTTGCTAAGCTGTATCACGCGAGCCTATACCAAACGTTTGCATTAATAAACTGCTGACCTGTTCTGCTGTCTAAAGGACTTGCCAACACAGTGGCATTAAATGGGTTAATTACATGCTATACCTCGATATGTTCAAAATGTTGATAAGATCATAATGAAGTAGCAAATTGCCTTTGTACACCCCCGCAACATAGGTGCTTGTGTTTCTTTCAGTTTGCCGCCACTTCTTTGTCATCTTCAAACAAAACATAAAGATAGAGGCAGGCACCAATATGTCGCATTTTATTGGGAGTCAGTTGACTTGAATAATACCGAAACAATGTTCTCTCTCAGAAGTACAAACCTTGCACGCACAGTCCTCATCACATCAAGATAAATACAAGCCACTGGCACGCACCACCAGTGATCACACCCATTTCAAGCGCCTGATTCACACTCTAATGTCTAATATGCGATCCTGCACTTGCAGAACCCACGGGAATATCAAATTGCAGGTTTTCTCGCAATTTCCGCACAGGTTTTTGGTTACAACAGCCCATTGCACCGTCAGCTCCCTTCAACACAAAGTCCCAACGGCAGTTCATGGTAATACAAATGAAAGCGTTGTACTTGAAGGACACAATTATGTTGTTCAAGATCTTAATTTGTCCTACAATATGTGTAAATATATGTCTAAAATAACTAAAATATTTCCCTAATTTGATGTCTTGCTAGCCCTGAAACCCGTACAAGGTTCTTTGCTCCGGTAGACGAGGCACCAACCGGCCTTGGCGCCAACCGAGCTGTCTGTAAGAAATACGTCAGAGGAAGAAGAAAACGCCGGCAGGAGAAAAGAGCAGATTTACCGTGGCGTCTTACTTTTATAACATGCGGCAGAGTGCCGTTTTTTTCGGTGCTGTACTTTTTTTGCATATAGTGGTGCTCTGCTTTATAACATTGACCTATGGTCTAGGAATAAGGAAAAATGCCCGTTGGCGACGCGTGCCGCACAAACCGAAATTGCTCGCGCTTACGTTCGCGGCTCGCATTCAGCAGCAGTGGACGAGGGGCTTGGGTTTGTACAGCAGGTAGTTGATGCTGAAAGAGGTGTTGAAATCATCACAGATATCTCCATGGCTGATGTTAGCAGCCTTTGGAATGAAATGTTTCTTTGCGTGAAGAAATCGTCAGACTCAAGCAAAAGCTTAAAGAGAAAGCTCTTGATGAGGATGCATTCCGAGACAATGATGAGAAAACCTCAATCTGCACCGGCCTTCCCTCATCGCATGTGCTGTTTTCTCTTTTGACATTTGTGTCTGTGTGCTTGCAAAAGTCTCCACGGTGTGCTTTATCACCATTCCAACAACTGCTTCTAACACTTGTGAAATTTCGTTTTAACCTTCCCATCAAAGATCTTCCCATTCCATTCAGCGTATCCATCCCCACTGCTTTATGAACTTTTCTGTGTGTCTTGAACATCCTGCGCTGGTGACTGGAGTATCTCATTGTGGGACCGGACTGTGACACGCTCAGATACACCATTTCCATGTGCCTTCAAAAATGTTTCCGAAAAGCTGCTGTCATTATACACTGCTTTGAAATTTTCACTGATCGTCCTGTGAACCCTTAAGCCCGTGCTCAAACATATCCATCCTATAAACAACACAACACTGTTAAGTCTTTCATTGGGATCACTCAGGGAACAGTTTCCCTCATTTCAGAGGCTTGGGGTGGCCGTGAGAGTGACAAAGACTTAACTGATAGTGACGGCCTTCTTGATTGGCTAGTTTGTAGTGACGTGGTCCCCGCAGATAGAGACGTTGATATCCGAGATGTGGCCGGACTGTTTTGTGCTAGAGTGCTAATTCCAGCCTTGAGACGTGGAACAAAGCAGCTCGGTGGCATAGAGGTGGAACAAACCAGGCGCATCGTAAACGTGATAATTCATGCTTCAATTATCACATAATATCGCGTGATAATTTGTGACAATTCAATAAGAGAACGTGTGATTGCGCTGACTAGAAATAAGTATGCATTTCGGACTGGGTCACAGCCCATCGACTGTATGTCCGTTTCTAATCCGTCCCTCACCACAACCCTGGACAAAATGGTCACCATGGGTTGTGCGTTTGTGAACCTCTGCGACTCTATCGTCTCTGCGGATTGGTGTGCTGTCGGCGGGATGTATCGTCGTCCAGTATGCGTCACTAACGCCCACTGGATGTTTACAGCGTCGTACTGCTCTCGCCATGCCCGAGATTAAACTGACTGAAGCATATCCACGTGAGGTTGTCTCGTTCTTGTCTGTTTCGTCCAGGCTTGCCAACGAGTGACGTGTTCGGTGTGGCCGGTCGTGACGATGTCTGCGTGGCTTCATGCAAGCATGTCAGGCCTGCTCACTCAAGCGCTGGAGCGAAACGATCGCCCCCGCCTGGCTAAGTCGCCGCATCGCCTCTTACATCTGTCAGTAACGGTTAATTGGGGTAAGCAGGGGAGTAGACTTCTGATAGTTACCTGTGGGGTCGATGCCGTCGTGTGTTTTTGCTTTTTTTTTACTTCACAATGCCATCGCGACCCCTTTGCTAGGCACCACCACGTCATCGTCGGCGGCAACATGCGCGCGAGTTCGTCGCCTGACGTAGCCACTGCGGCGCTACCTCCACCCAGTGGCGGGTGCTGTGAGAGCTCGCTTCTAACAACTTACCGCCACATTGTTTGTCTACAATGATTTCTCTGTCAATCAATCAACAAAACATTAGAAATCCTGACGTATTCATGACGAACGGAAAAGATGCAGGTTTAGACCTGGCCCTCCGAATGCGTGCGAATGTGCACAACTAGCTGCAAATGGCTACGACCACGCGGCCGGTATGATAAGGTACGTGGGCGCATCATCGAGAAGGACCATCAACCAAGTGCGGAATCAGCTGTTTCGCAGCAGTTAACACTTGGCAAGACGTCCACATCATCTTTAAAAGTTAAACGTTCACTGCCTATAAAATTTCCGTCGAACCCCGAACCCAGCACTATAACCAAGCAAGCGGCGATGGGCCGCCGTCAATGGTCTCCGGTCAAAGGCGTCGAGCGACCGGGACCGCGTGTTCTAGGGGTCGGACAGCGGTGAACACTCATCCTCCCCGTCGGAAGGCCGTTTGCCGAGAAGGCCGGACGACGGCGGGGATCTGCCGCCGAGGCCGGAATGCGGCAACCTGTCCCTGAGGCCAGACGGCGGCGGCCTGTCCCTGAGGCCAGACGGCGGCGGCCTGTCCGAGATGCCGGACGGCGGCAACCTGTCCCTGAGGCCGGACGGCGGCGGCCTGTCCCGGCGGCCGGACGGTGGCAACCTGTCCCTGAGGCCAGACGGTGGCGGCCTGTCCGAGATGCCGGACGGTGGCAACCTGTCCCTGAGGCCAGCCGGCGGCGGCCTGTCCGAGATGCCGAACGGCGGCGGCCTGTCCCGGCGGCCAGACGGCGGCGGCCTGTCCGAGATGCCGGACGGCGGCGGCCTGTCCCTGAGGCCGGACGGTGGCGGCCTGTCCGAGATGCCGGACTGCGGCAACCTGTCCCTGAGGCCAGACGGCGGCGGCCTGTCCGAGATGCCGGACTGCGGCAACCTGTCCCTGAGGCCAGACGGCGGCGGCCTGTCCGAGATGCCGGACTGCGGCAACCTGTCCCTGAGGCCAGACGGCGGCAGCCTGTCCGAGATGCCGGACGGTGGCAACCTGTCCCTGAGGCCAGCCGGCGGCAGCCTGTCCATGTGGCCAGACGACAGCGACTGACCGCCCGGAAGGCCGCACGGTGAAGGTCTGTCCAGAAGGCTGGACTGTGGCAACCTTTCCCTGGGGCCAGAAGGCGGCGGCCTGTCTGGGAGGCCGGACGGCGACGGCCTGTCCGGGATGCCGGATGGCGGCGGCCTGCCCGGGATGCTGGTTGGCGGTGGCCTTTCTGGACGGCCGGACGGCGACGGCCTGTCTCCGAGGCCGGACTAGGGCCGCCTTTTCCGAGGCTGGAAGGTGGCGGCTTGTCCCTGAGGATGGACGGCGACCGCCTGTACCCGGGGCTGGACGGCGGTCGCCTGTCCCTGAGGATGGACGGCGGTGGTCTGTCCGGGAGGTCGACAGGCTACCGCTGCCTGCCCGGGAGGGCAATCATTCTCCTTCCCGGCCACGTGTGGGCGCGAGAACCACTCGCCCAGCAACTCTGGCAGCACGCACCGCAAGAAGAACGCGCGAGCAAGGGGGATTTTCTCTGCTAGGAAGATGTTGTCCTGATGAATCCTTCCGATGTACGTGACCTAACGACTAGGTCACTAGGCGTCCAAACGACTAGGTCACAGCACGCCTTGCCCGAGCATTTGCCCGCCATTTTTTAGCCCGCCAACTCGCTATTTTTACCCAAAGAGTCCGTGCGCTTTTGGCTGAATTATGGGTCAAGCCTCGCGGGCTTTTGTGGGTGAGAAATTTTAGGAGGCAAAATAGTGTATTTTTGCTATTACCTAAGTTTTAAAATCACCCAAAACCGGTGCGCTGCCAAACACAAAACAATCGTGAAGCAAATATATTTGTTTACACCAAGAGCACCAGTGACAGACAAGTCATGACAGACACAACACACCAGCAAACCAAATTGCACAAATTGGACAGCTTCAAGCAATCATCTCACTAAAAAGTTCAAAAATAACTACCCATATTTTTTAACCATATGGCGATTTCACCGAGCAGCAGTTAGGAGGGTCATTGATATAAATACAGCTACAGGCTGCACCTGACTCTCATTGTGAGGCCGCGGTACACTCAACCTTTGTTGCTTTATACAAAAACCGTACCTCACATATCAAAAACAATATCGATGATTAAATTATATTTCAATTAAAACAAAATTAAAGTGAGTGGGATACTGTGAGCCTTTCATTGCGCCAGGTTCACTCACTTGTTAATACAGCTAACAGTCTCCGGGGTATCAAATGCGCAACAGTTGTCGCGGCCGAAAGAGCAGTGACATGGAGTTTGTTAATATCTGTGTGTAGAAGGTGCCGGCTCCGACCATGACTACAGAGCGCCTTAACTATGCGGTTCTCCCTTTTTGTGACTGTTAATTTTTCCAATATAATGTTCACGAAGGCTTTTGTTCTGCTTGATATGTTCATTTGCTTCCAATATTGTGCCTACACAGTTCTTTGTAAAAAAAAATCATCAACATATCACGTCAATGAAGTGTTCGATTCAGATGGAAAATTGCAGACGGTAGGATTTCATGCTGTATAAAGAGCCCCTGCATTTAATTTTTGCAACTGTTGTTTGCTTTCACAGAAGTTTTTTTTGCAGCGTGCAGCAAGGTGTTGCACTTCTTGTTGGCATTGCTTAAGTCAATAATGTCAATGGAGGGGCAAATATTTGTGAACAAATTATTATTTCCACCCTTGCTCTCACGGAGCTTTAATGCCACATTGGCTAAACCCGCGCAGCGGGCACTAGTGGAGTGAAGCATGGATAGTGATAAGAAAGGAGTGTGTGCCATTTCAAATCTACCATGTTGTGTTTATGTAGTGTGCTTGCTTGACGTATTCACTTCAGGACACCAAATGCCATACAGCTGGCTGGCTCGGGCCCTTCAAGGAGACATTGAACATTATGTCAATTTTGACGCAGTCGAAAGAGGGTTGTTCTTGTGTACATTGTATTGAATTAATACTTCTCATGGCTGGAGACATCCAGCATTCTTACCCTGTCAGTACAAAGTCATCAGTTAATGCGTGCAATTTTAGCAGAAATGGCTGTTGGTCTATTGAGATGAGGTAGAAGGGTAAAGTCTTTGAAGCATTTTGGTGAAAGACCAATTTATTTGCATCCTTTTCCTTTTCTTTTGTAGTTGAAAACTGTGATCAGCGTTTAGCCACAATTTACTTAGGTGCATTGAAAATCCTCTTGAGCAGGTGCTTTGGTTGCTGCTTTCTGAGCAACATCACCGGTGTTAGCCAAGCGATGCTGTGTGTTAGATCGGTTGCTACTTTCTGAGCAACATCACTGATGTCAGCCACACGATGCTTTGTGTTAGATGTCACTTAAATGTCATTCTATGCACACTTAAATGCTTAGATGTAAAAGTAAGGTATAATGATAAAATGAAGTTAAATAGAATGCAATCATATGCAATAATGATATAAAATGAATGAGTACTTACCAGTTAATGGCGGATCAGCATTGTAGTACAGCAGGCTTTTGCAGGCTGGATCACTAGCTAGGGGGGACGGGCTGGGCTGCGGGCTGATCCTTTGGAGAAGGCTTCTTCTCTAGAACGCACCAACTTCTTCGAGTGGCCGCAGCAGCGAGCGGGTTAAATTGGTTTTGATGAGTTGTAATCTCTTCTCCTAGGCTGCGTCCCACCCAAGATGTTTATCCATGCTCGGAGAAAATTTGCTGCTTGATATTTTAAGATCCGATTAGCTTCTGCCTCCTAAGCTTTTTTTGCTGCTGCTGGTGACGTTAACATAAGTACGCCCTGAGGGCGAGTGCGGCCGTGCTCTGCGATGGGTGCCTGTCAAGGTGGTCTTTCAGGGGCGCATCGCGATGCTCGGCAAGCGAACAGGAGAGCGGCCTTCCCGCCTCTCCGACGTACGACCCACCACAACGCATGCCACCGAGTGCAGCACTCTTCTACGACGATCAGACGTCTCCGCCTTAAATTAACGACCTAGTATGTTTTTCAAAGTTGTGCTTGTGGCATGCGCTATTGATGCCGAGGAGTCTGAGGATCCTGGCGATGCGTCTACCGACTCATTGACAATAGGTTAACGAAAACTAACGAACTTGCTCACGCGGAGTAACACTGAAAGTCCACTTTTTACCCGATCGGCGTAGATTTGGACGGCGCATTTGGAGGTACCCGTTCGCTGTCAATGTTTCATTTAGCCGGTTGACTCGCTCTTACAGTGTAGGCGTATGGCATATCCTGTTTGCCTTCTGTGTTAAACGAGTCGGCCTGCGTTACGCGTCCGTGACGATGGTGAAAAGTGTCAAAACATGCCCATGTCTCGCGCGCGCTGTGGTCGACGCCAGTATCGAACGGGCGCGACTTTGTGTCGGACGGACGAACGGACGGTCGGACGGGCATTACATGGGCGGGCTGTGCACCATGGATGGCGGGAGCCTGGGTGGCCAAACGAGTGGAAGCCAGACAGTGGTGGACCTGATTTCTTAGTTGGGGAGGTGGATTGCCCCGCCCTCCACCTCCCCAACTTTGCTGGTGAAGTTGGGTGAAATCCGGCAGGATCAATAACAACGAGTATACTTGGATAGCGAAGTGATTTTTATCTGTCCTGTTTCTGACTGGTTGTACAAAATTGTACTCCTCACAGCAGGTGCCATTGTTGCATACAACGTACTAACATAATGCGTGGAGGGCTAAGCGAACATGTCATTCCCATTGCTTTTTCCCACACATTCCCACATAAGTTCCTGTCCGAAAGTTCTAGGGCTGCAATGTATTGCCGTAAGCCCCGCCTGCCTTCCCAAAATGTAGCCCAAATCGTTGCACCTGCATGCGCCTCCGCTCCAGTTGAGACGTGGCTACTCCTATAAGCGCACGATCGTATTAGAATGAATGTAACTGGATGAGGAAAAAAGTGAAGAAGCCAGCAGAACAGCACGTGACTGAGGCATTCTCTACCTTACATCGATGCAGTCGTGCTTTATGTTGTCACAATGCTCGGGGCACGTCTGTCCAGCGGAACGTTGAAACGAACGGGTAGAAAATGTCACAAAACCGTACACTTACCGGCATGGAAAGCAGCGACAAATGTCAGCATCTCCGGATAATTTTTTGTGGCTGGGCCGTCAACCCAAGATGGCTAATTTGAATTTTAGCACCTCAGATGGGTCGTATCAGGGCACGAGATCGCAATGTAGCGAGCCAGCACCACCATGCCCACATCAGGCAGAGACAGCTCTGCGACATGTCGGACATATATTTCAACGGAACAGCCAAGAGCGTTGCTCGATGGGGTAAAGCCACGGGGTAGGGCCACCGTTGGCACCGACAGCAGGGATCACGTGATTCTCGCGCAGAAGAGGGAAATATGGCACAGGTAGATCGGTATCAGCAACTCCGACTGCAAGACGCCCTAGGCAGCGAGCGTCGCCACCTGACGTGCGTCGTAAGGAGAAAATTCTAGGGCTAGCAGGGGGGGGGGGGGGGGGGGGGAGTCGGAACCTGGTCACGACTAGGTCTGGCAATCCCAAGTCGACGTCACCATGAGGATGCCCCAGGGCATTTACATGCTGAAGGCCGGATACTGCGGTTTTTCAATAATCGTTTTCAAGCACTTTTAAACCGCTCTCTGCTATAAAATGAGTTGCAAGACGTACGTATGTCAGTGAGACTCCTCGCCATACCCGGGGCTAAAACAGCTGTGGCTGGTCAGTCCGTATCGAGGCACCATGCTTATTATCTAATAAAGGTGACTTTTATCAATATTTGACGAGATGATCACCCTAACCGTCACGAGCGGTTTTGCGCGTAGTGGTTCACGTGCGGCTGTTTCAAGCCGGTAAGACATCTAGACGAACAGTCAGGCCGATGGGGGGGGGGAGGGGGAAATACTCGAGTGAAACAACCAATCAGACGGCGACAGCAGCTGCATTTAATGTTCAGAGACACCAGGAATTTTCCTTGCCGGATGAGTGGAGAAAATTGATGCTATTTGATTTCACATGATGTCGGCCTTAACAATGCCTGAATCCCTTTTCAGCATATGTATGGGTTTGGAACTGAAATTTTCAGA